GTGTGGTCGATCCGACAATATTTGTAAGAAATTCTGGCAACTGGCCAAGAATATTCATGCCCAACAGGCAAGGTATATTTGACACATTTGTCTCTAGGTTGTGTTTCGTAACGAACACCCCAACCTGCTTCAACCTATGTCCTGCCACCACGACATCCGCCAGAAAATAACCACAGTATGGAATGGTTAGTCCATTAGCTGCCGTTAGGCGCATGCCTGTGTCAGACCTCAACCTATGGTCTTTTCCTTTCATCCATTTGGTGTAAAAATTTTCCGTGATTGTCGTCACCTGGGAGCCTGTATCCACAATTGCCTTCACCGCGATGTCCCCAATCGTAATCACCATTTCGGGACAGACTCCCATCATTTTGTTTCTTGGGCCATAACCTCGCCCCTCTGTAGCTTGGCCCTGCCTTACAGAGGACGACCGTTTCCCTGGCAGTACCGTGCCATATGTCCGGGTTGTGAACAAGACAAACAAATTGGTCGACCGTCGGCCGTCCATTGGAGTGATGGCTTGGCAGGACGCGGCCGTCCAACCCGTCCCTGTTTTGTCCCGTTCTTTTCCCGATTCTCAGCTGTTGACCTGCTTTCTAACCTCTCCAAACGTTGGTCAACCTTATCTAGGTGGGCCAACAGTTGAGCCATCATGGTCTCCATCGTGTCGGCCCCTGTGGGTGGGGATTGTCTCTGTTCAGGCACAGAGACTTTGTCCACCGAACAGTTCGATTGGTCCTCATCCTCGGACCTGCGGATCGCTGAGTTCCTGACCTGAAGGAAGGTCAACTGCGGTTCTTTGTGGACCTCCTCTTTCAACTCTCTTCTTAGGATCGGGGTTGCCAGCCCCTCAATGAAATGGTCCCTCAGTAGGCGTACGTCAATGTCCGGTGTTTTGACCTTTACCGAATCAAAGGCCCTGTTCATCCGGTGTGAGTACTCCATCACACTCTCCGCCAATCTCTGCCTCAATGCTACGAACCCTGCTAGCAGTTGCGATCCCGACCGTCTCTCCCCAAAGGTCTCCATAATCAGATCCAGCACCTTATCTGGATCTGATTGGATGGTTTTATCGTGGCATTTGACCTCTGCCCTAACCGTCTCTCCTATACTGCCCATCAGCAGTCTTAATCTTTCCTCTGGTGACATGCCTCTCGAGGCCCAGGCCGCTTTGACCTCTTCACTGAACCTGTTGGTTAAAGTGGGATCACCGTCCCCGTAAAATTTGTTAATGTGGGACTCTCTGGGTAGGACCACTATATGGGTCTGCTTCTCGTCCAGAGTAGACATTTTATTCCGTAAGTAAAACAAAAGAGTTCTTTCTTACCGTGTGTATATGAAAAATTTTTCCTCGATTTTCACAGTTCCTGAATGTCCGAATTCACATACACACAAAACACAGTTATGCACAAGGTTGACTATGGGTGCCTTAAACGGCAAGTCTAGTTGAATTCATCCTGCTCGACAACGCCAAATGTGACCTAGGCTAGTTGCATCTTTCCTGTTCGCAACGCCAAATGTGACCTTCCCCGAGTCTATCATGCCCGACAACGCCAATTGTAACGAGTTGAACCACTCATGCTACACAACATCGACTACAGTAGAAAGACTCGAAGATGCAGGTTCGCTATTGATCCTTTTATTACATGAATCAAGAAATGCTTCAATATAACACAATGAATCAACAGAAATGTTTCACAATAATAGTCTGAATCAACTGACCCCCTAACAGTCCTCACTAGGCTTCATATAACTGAATCCACATGTCTAGTGTCCTTCTTAACACAATATAACCAACTTGAGTATGTCACACAGACTGACTGATCTAAAGCGAGCGATGAAGATGGAAGAGAGCTCGCAAACGGGAAGAGAACGAGTTCAGTCGTCCCCTCCTATTTATGCCTTGTATCCGTACTCGTCCCCGTACTTGTATTCCTCCGTAATCGATACTTGTACTCGATGTCTCCGACCACTAGTTGCGTAGTTCTAACGTACAGTCCGTAAAATAACATCTGCATCCTATCAATCAAAGTTGACAGGCCGTCTCACTCCTCGCACCGTTTCCCAAAATAGCACGCGTTGGCTTTGAGGTTGTTATCAGCCCGACCCAATAAGCCACCTGTTATCGGTTGCATCAGACCAACACTGCGTCTCGGCTTCTCGTTCGTTATCCGATTTGTAACTAGTAGCTAGGCCTACCATAGCTACATATATATATATATATATATATATATATATATATATATATATATATATATATATATATATATATATATCCTAATCAGCATACTATTCAAGATATTAATGGATTATTTATAAATTATATATTTACAAAACTGTTAATTTAAAAAGCTGTCAATTGTGTTCAATGAGCGGTAAATTGGATACAAACGTCTAACATTCTTCTTCTTCGTTCTTAATTTTAGTGTTGGAAGGGATCCCCTCCAACACAATAAAGTATGAGTGTCAACTGGTTATGCGCCATTGAGACCATTGACTCCGATTTTAGCCTGCTTTTCTTTTTTAATTTGTTTCCATAGCCTTTGTCCAACCAAGAACAAACTACAGCAGATGTTTGATTTTGGAGTTGTCTCTCCTAGAAGAGTGGCTATCCCCAGCTAACGAGCCTCATCTGCCCGAGGGTTTGAACTCGAGACATTTCGGTTAAGCATCCACGAGCTTTACCGACTCGATCACGCCGATCCCCTTACATCTAACCAATATGTACTCATTTTTAGCATAATTATATGTTGCCCCCACCCACTACCACGACTCACACACTAACAGAACACAGAGAGGCGAGATCCATCCGCTACGTCAGCAGTACTAAATATATGACTGTTTACTTTAGGCCTGTAGAAGCTTTAGACCTCTGACCATCAACTAGCCGGGTACCAGACGGTAAGACGATGTTCGCGTCTGATGGTGGGGGAAGTAAAGCCTGGTGAGAGGCTAATGGAAGTGAACTCCTGAGCCGGCATATCCGTGTCACAATAGTTATTGAACTGTCATTCAAGAACTTATATTGGGCATGAAAAAGCTGGAAATGCAGACTAACATTGAACTCATATAAATGTCCATGAAAATATGATGTCGTTATAGATCAGACGATAAAGACTGTTGGCACTTGTTTGATTGCAGACGCTAAAGAGAAAAAGAATTTCAAACCACTCTACGTATGAAATTATTAATAAAATACAGAGGTTAAACTAGGCCCAACTAAAACAGTAAGCACGGTATAAGCGTAAAAAAACCACACCTCCATCCTCTTATGTGTCATTCATTTATGAGGCCCACAAAAAGTTGGATTTCCACAGGCGTCCATTTAAAGAACGTCATCCCTGGCCGTAAACCCGATATTAACGTTCACTAAAAGTAAAGGCCTATACATGTTTTTAAAAGTTTAAATCATACAGTATTCACACCAGATGCATGACATTTATGTGTCAGAATTCGACCGCTGTTTGTGTTTTTAACACTAAAATCAACTAAATTTATTGTATAAGCAAACCTTGTCTGGCCTGGTATTTATACACTGATGTGTGTGCTCGGGTTTGATATTTTGATAAAAAATTGAAATAATCTTGTAATTCAAATATTAAAACATTGGCTTTTATAGTAAAACAAAAAACCCAAAAATATCACTTTAAAGGGAAATTAGCTATAATTGAAAAAGGAAATTCGGGGGCCCCTAAAAATCGGGGGCCCCTGGCTGCAGCCCCCTCAGTACCCCCCTTAATCCGCCACTGAGTAGGCCTACCTTTTTTTTTTACCTGGGGGTCCATAGATTAATTAGATTAATGAAAATTACGTAGATCAAGTCATTAGTAGCCAGAGAACCGAACCCCTGACTTACAGGTCATCGAACGTACGCTCTACCCGGATGTTAAAAGGTGTAAATGAGACACACAAAAAATTTCGACGTAAGGTCTTTGTTAAATGTTGCTATTTTTACTTTCTCGTATATACGTAGTATAGAGAAAGTATTGTAATCGTGCAAAAAAAAAAAAATCGAGATTTTTACAAATCTCGACGTTTTACACCTCACTGATACGGAAAAACATAATTTTGCAATCTTGTCCGTATGTCTGTGTGTGTGTGTGTCTGTCCGTGTGTGTGTCTGTGTGTAAACACGATAACTTGAGTACCGTTACAGCTAGGTTGATGAAATTTCATATATAAGTATTTTATCAAAATCGTAGATCCGTATCAACTTTTGAGCAATTTCCGATAACCGGAAGTGGTACTTTTCCTACTTTGAATTTTTCAAAAGCCTATAACTTGAGTACTATTTCAGATAGATAAATGAAATTTCACATGTAAGTAAAAGATCTAATTCTCTACCTTCTGTTAAATTTTGAGTAATTTCCGTTGACTGGAAGTAGTAATTTACGCTACTTCCGATTTCTCAAAAAACTAATGTAAATTTTTAAAGTACTAATAATATTGCGCACTATTATACGCGTTTTTATTCGGCGTTTGCTTGGTGCGCAATGTTTTTTTTATGAGATTCTATTCTATTTTTAAAAGTTTAAGTATTTACAATGGATTAAAAATCATAACTATATCCCCAGTTACCATCCCCTGTTGTTTTATATAAGAATATTCGAGAAAGTTTAGGGGAGATCACTACCGGTTTATTATTTAAAAAAAAGACCTAGTGTTTTGTAGTATTGTTTTCGTTGAATACTGGTGCTTTATATCAATATTCTATTGTCTTTTTAAAATATAATGCAAATCAACGCACCAATTTTGTATTGTTTTACTAAAAATTATAGTTCTATTTCAAGATTTTCTTGGTATTAATTATCCCGACTAATTAAAACGCACGAGATGAACCAGGTGTGGTCAAATTATGACAGGTAATCGTCAAGCGAAACAAACTCTCGTGTATAGCAGTGAGAGCTTGTTGAATCCATGCCCTGGAGCCGTCACGCTACACAGGCTGGGAGCGGGGTGGGCTAGTGGAATTTCTGCCCCGTTTTACATCGCAGACGACACCGTAGCGCCCCGCGTCACTCCCCGCATTCCGCAAGTGTATTGATCTCAGTCCTGCATCGACTGTGACCAACGACCGACCTGTGACCGACCAACAGCACGTGCTGGGGTCAGGATCAGATTTGCCGCCAAATTTCTTGAGGACCTGCTCAGTGTTGGATTACATACACGTCAACAGTTTGGCTTGGAGAGTACACGACTGATTCTAGCGGTGGTACAGTGATGTAAAAACGTTTCTAAAGGTGAGAAACTTAGATCACTTGATACTTTATAATGAGTTTATTACTTTTTAAATAAGGCTGAAGTTGAATAACTATATCTATATCTATACAGTGGCGTAGCGAGGTCGGGTGTCACCCGGTGCGGCACTTAATGGTGTCACCCCCCCAGAGGCATAGAGACCCTTCCCAGGGACAAACTTTCAAATTTTCGATTTGCACCCCCCCCTCAAACTTTCGATTTGCACCCCCCCCCCCCCTCGAGTTTTCGATTTGCACCCCCCCCCTCGAGTTTTTCTCTATATATTTTGCTATTTTTTTCCTTGGTGTCACCCCCCTAAATGGTGTCACCCGGTGCGGTCCGCACCCCCCGCCCCCCCCTCGCTACGCCCCTGTATCTATATCTATATCTATATCTATATCTATATCTATATCTATATCTATATCTATATCTATATCTATATCTATATCTATATCTATATCTATATCTATATCTATATCTATATCTATATCTATATCTATATCTATATCTATATCTATATCTATATCTATATCTATATCTATATCTATCTAATAGTAGATGTTAGAAATCTCTGTACTGGTGTATTAATGTGGTGCTAGCATTAAATATCCCACCGAGAAAATCGCTTTTCTACCAGGATTAATTCTCATTGAGGTTTAGTGTAGAGTAGATGGATGAGTTAGTTAAAGAAAGAAGTTGTTCTGTAGGCCTAATACAGAGGGTAAAACGTCTTCACAATTATGTTTTCTAGACAAGCATCAACGTTAACCTTTATGTAGTGTAGATATGACTCCACGTTTTATGAGAAATACGATGCGGACACGAATATGTCTTACCCACCCCCCCCACCCCCTTTTACCCCATGTTGCTTTGTGATCACATGAGATACTATAACATCCGAGCTTTCTCCCCCCCCCCATATCCTCTACCCCATGGTGTGTTATGATGGGTCTAACGAGGGCTAGATCACACACGTTCTTACATCACACGAGATTCTATAACAGCCGAGTTCTCTATCCTCCCCCCCCCCCCCACCGTATACCTCATGGTGTGTTATGATGGGTCTAACGAGGGCTAGATCACACACGTTCTTACATCACACAAGATTCTATAACAGCCGAGCTTCCCCCCCCCCCCCCCCCCCCATATCCTCTACCCCATGGTGTGTTATGATGGGTCTCACGAGGACTAGATCACACACGTTCTTACATCACACGTGAACAGGCTGTCATCTCTGGAACTAATGACGTCACGGCATGTTTAGGAATCGTTGACGTCTTAACAAGTGTACTGCTTCACAGTTACATTGGAGTGACGCCACTGGAATTGTGATTAGCGTCACGGCTTCTATGGGGGCACCCACCCCCCACCCCCCAACGCCCTGTTTAGATCAGGCTCGACAAATGGCCAGCTCTCTATCAGTGAACACAGGAGTGATGTTGTCGTAGTCTGCTGTCTATGGATGGTGTGGGGTCGGGGCGTCACACTCACTGGATCAGCTGTTCTGATATTTGGGACAATTGAGTATGGTTGGGGGGGGGGGGGGGAGGGGATAAATAGTGTGACGTCACACAGTTGCAATTGAAAAAAAAACCATTTCGTATTTTTCGAACGGCCTCGTAAATATTAATTGACCAGTATAACACATGCATGCCCAGCTCAATGAATATGTAAAGAAATAAAAAAAAAATTGTAATTAAATAAATGTGTGGTAGGTGGTGTAGGCTGTTACGTTTTGTGACAATAGAAAGTTGGGAGCGAGGGGGGAGGGGGATAAAATCGTCAATAAAGTGTGACATCATTTATGGGCGACCTCTAGAACCATAGACTCGCACGATTCATTGAATGAAATATCTCAACCAGTTCTCCAGTCCATGACCAACACGGTGGTAACACTCAATCACTCATTAATTCAGCCGCTAATTATATGGTTCAAAACAGAGTGTATATTTTGAAAGCAACACATTATTTTGATCTTGTGACCACAACCATGTACACATAAGTGTACATTTATACGTACACGCAGATACACGCAAATCAACATAGCTTGTATGATTTCCAATTCGGCATTCCAGATAAATATGTTTAATGGTTTGCAGCTTGAAAAGAAGACGTTAAAATATTTGAATGGTGTATTCTGCCCCCTACCGGGCGAACACGGGTTATCGAGCGTTATACGACAGGTCACCACGGGGGGTCATACGCCAGGTCACCATGGGGGGTCATAAGTCAGGTCACGTGATTACCATAAACCGTTGATGCGGAGAAGTGAGTGGGACGTTCTGTCCCCCAGTCGCCCACCTCAGCTGTCTTACCTGTGGGAACGGGCCAGGTGTGTTTACCCCGGCGAACAATGCGTGTCGGCCTATTGTACACGCCTATTGATTTTCTTTACCTCCGTGATTAGCCCAGTCAGGTGTTCGATGATCGTGTGATCGATGTATCGATCTGATCCTGATAGACTAGCATCATTAAATTATCCGCACTGTTGTTATTTCCTGTTATTAATTACCCCGACAAGTATAAACGTTATTCTATAAATGACGTCACAGAGATCACGTGAATGGGGACGTACGGTGGATGTGACGTCATATCAAAATGCGCATTTATATAATAACGTTATAAGATTATTTAAATATGACGTGCTTGACCTCTTTAACAAAAGGCGTCCTCGGGTCAAGTGTGTATGTGTGTGTTGTGGGGGGGGGGGGGGTCAAGTGGCGCCCCACACTGAGGTGACACCCAAAAATGTAGACCAAAATATCAGCCAAGTGTAAACAACCAGAGGACCACGAGTGACTGAGTGACTGCGCCAGTTTCTGATACACACATTCTTCTTCTTCTTCGTTCTTTATGGTAATGTTGGAGGGGGCTTCCTCCAACACAAGTAAGTATCGCGTGTTATGCGCCATAGACTCCGACTTTTATTTCTGGATTCCATAGCCTTTGTCCACCTAAGAACAATCTGTACTCAAGCAGTTGATTGATTGTTGTCTCTAGCTGACGGGTCTCACTTCCCCGGGTTCCGAACCCGGGACTTTTGATGTTGATAATCAAGCGCACTCCTCCCCGACCACAACCCTCCAGATACATACGTTACATGTGTTTTACAGTGTCCGGGCTGTAGGGCTATCCCAAAAGTCCCGAGTTCGGATCCCGAGCGCGACCACCCCGTTTTAATCTTCTCCTAAGTAGGTAGTAGGTGGTCAAAGATAGCGTATTCACCTTTGTAATTGTAACAACCAGTTCCCTCCCCTTTCTAACATCAGTATTTTTTTTTTGTTTAAACTGTTATCCTCTTATACCATTAGATTTTTGTTTACTTGGGGGTAAGGGTCACTTTATGTGGGCTATCCCAAAAGTCCCGAGTTCGGATCCCGAGCGCGACCACCCCGTTTTAATCTTCTCCTAAGTAGGTAGTAGGTGGTCAAAGATAGCGTATTCACCTTTGTAATTGTAACAACCAGTTCCCTCCCCTTTCTAACATCAGTATTTTTTTTTTGTTTAAACTGTTATCCTCTTATACCATTAGATTTTTGTTTACTTGGGGGTAAGGGTCACTTTATGGAAGGGTCATGGGGGTCAAACTTATTGGGATGATGTGTTTTAAAGGGACGGGATTTGAAAATCTGCCAAGGTCGTGTGACGTCACGCACGGTGATTCCAAGTTCAACTACGGTACGCTCTACTTTAGCTGCTGACTAGATTTCGATGGCCAGTTTCTTACGTCAGTTCATTACGGAATTTCATTACGTCACTTCTTTGGATTTTAAATTGACGGTTAAACTAATACCTAATTATAGGCAAACTGCATACTACAGTAGTATAAAAATACTGTTGCATAAAGACATTATATTACGTCATGTGCGAAAGTTCTCGGTAAAATGGCCCAAATTAAAATCAGCATTACTTCGCGCTAAATTTATCAAATGGGTATGTTCCGTATCAATAAACGAAACTGCAATAAAATCTGTAATACGCTAATACACCAGCACTCCTTGTAAAAGTAATAGCTCTATTTAGACGCCAAAACCTCAAGCAAACACACGCACACACACACACACACACACACGGAATGTGTGGGGGTCCTGTAGACTTTACAATTTCTAAGAGTCATGTGACGTCACGGCTTATGATTTTATTAAAACGAACTAAAAATAGCGCCCTAAACACGCAGTGCTTAAAATAGCACCGGGGAGGACGGAAATTAAAACACGACAAATATTTCTAGCAGGCGAATGTGTTGTGCCTAGCTGCTAAACGTGGGGTAAGTTTTCGTGTTTGTTTACAACTTTAGGTGTCGTTTTTCGTGTTACGTGAACAGTATTGTGTCTTAGTTGCATCCATTGTCCCCCGTTTGTCCCTGATTTGTCCCCCGTTTGTCCCTGTGCATTAACTGAGCATACACATGCCGATTATGGCCACGATTGTGTCACCGTGTCTTATCTTTTTATCACAACTGGATTCGTTTCCTGCTTGTTTTTATGTGATATAAACCCCCCCCCCACCACCACCACTAACTTAAAGGCACCAAGATAACGATTTAATAAAGTGCTAAAACTGACAGTTCGAAATATTTTAGTTCAATGCCAACATAGTTTCCATTAGTTAAAATTATTTTAATTTGTTTAATGGGACCATGAATGTATAGTGTAGGCTTTCTCTTTATTCCATTAGGAACTAACACTTATATTACTTTCTCGCTACACCTCACTCATACTTTATGGCTACACGCACTCATACTTTATGGCTACACCTCACTTATACTTTATGGCTACAAACAATAAAATTACACACACCTGCTTCTCAGTGGCTACCTATCCGGTATCAACAGCAGTTTAATTCCATCATCACATCGCTATACATCCCACACCACATAGCCCCCCCCCATGCAGAGTTTCTTCCAGGCATCTCTTCGGGGGGGGGGGGGGCTAAGCCCCCCAGAAATTTTTTTAGCGCCCCCCCCCCCCCCGAACGAAATGAAATTTATATAATTTATATA